GTCCCCCTAAGAAGCTCTGAATTAGTTTACTAACTATAAAATAAATCACATCACTTATCTACAAAATACATAAGACATCATGCGAGGCCTCAAAACCTGAGCTAAATCATTTGTTCATCTACCTCAAGATTATTGGCACTTACTGGCAACAGCTGTCCATGGTCTCGAGGCTATTTCCAACTCTTGATGAAGATGTCAGGAAGTGAACCTTTGATCTTCTGCAGAGACAATTGTCTTATACTGACTTATACTGATCGTTCCACCTAATTCTCAGGGTTTCAAACAGAAATTTTTCCTAGGGATCCTTGGAAACTCCAGAATTCTGAACGCCTTGCTTGTGAAGAACAGATCTCTGTGCTTTATCCACAAGCTTTCCTATTACGATACAGATTTACACTGGAATGTTTCATCCACTGCCTTGGGTATAAAGTGTCATGGACCTCTGCACAAAACTCTATAAAATTGTGCTGCACTTTGTTTTAGTTGGTTTAATCACAGTTTTAGCTAGTTTTTGAGGACCAGTTGTAATTATAATAGCTAAATTTACATACTTGGACACTTTTAATGTAATGAGTGGGCAATGATAAATAAAAATGTTGAAGTTGGCTAACAAAAATTAGTTGTTGTCATATGTCAAGATACATTACACCTCTTTTACTATACCCAGAACAGGAGTTCTTTGTTACAATTGGGATATTATGAAAATGCATTTAGTTCTAATTATTTAATATAAAACAGGACTAAGAGAAAATTACCTTTTTTTTTTATTATTATTTACCTTTCCATCAAAGAAAATAGCAACCTAGTGGTTAACAGATATAATAAAAATAAATAAATGCATCAAGGAATTTTAAATTGTAGAATCAACTTATCAGACAAGAATTAAGGTTTAAAACCACCTGATCATATATGTCTGCAAGTACACTTCACAAGGAGGGTCTAAAATAATTTGCAGTTTTCTTTAAAAAAAAACTAATTATAATTGTATCTCATAAGCTGGAACATCTGATGTACAAAATTTTCTCTTTACCAAATGCAACTTGTACAGTGGTACCTCGGGTTACAAACGCCTCTGTTAACTAACTTTTCGGGTTACGACCAGCTCCAGCCGCAAAAATTTACCTCGGTTTGCGAATTCCGCCTCGGAGTACGAACAGGATACGCGGCCATTTTCCCTCCCGTGACACGGTCCGCAGCCATTTTTCCGCCCCTGACACATGGTCCACAGCCATTTTCCACCCCTGACACGTGGTCGTAGGGAGGGGGACTCTCCCTCCAAGCAATAGCCGCCTCCCTGTCCTCCACACCAGAACGGATTAATGGTAATTACATTGAATCTTATGGGAAAATTTCTGACACATGGTCCACAGCCATTTTCCACCCCTGACACGTGGTCGTAGGGAGGGGGACTCTCCCTCCAAGCAATAGCCGCCTCCCTGTCCTCCACACCAGAACGGATTAATGGTAATTACATTGAATCTTATGGGAAAATTTCCTTCGGGTTGTGACCAATTCAGGGTGCAACCAGAGTCACGGAATGGATTAAGTTCGTAAACCGAGGTTCCACTGTATTTGGCCTTGTTATCGGGTTTGCCTAGAAAACACTGCAGAAATATTCACCCTAATTTTGGTGCATATTAGCTAGAATGAGCATTTGGGGCAAATATTTTATCAATAATAAATGTAGTTTTCAATGTATACACTTCCAACAGTAGAGAATATATACATATACGCCAGGGTTGAACTACTGGGATCTTGATATTCTCTGAGCTTGGTGGTTTTCCTGCAGACATTTCATTCCTAGGCTGGGGAACATCATCAGCACTGATCAAGCTCAGAGAACACCAAGAACCCAGCAACATATACACTTTTTGTGCATTTTTGGTGCATTTTTTCCATCATGCATCCATTTTTGTGCACATTTCTTGAGTTGCAAAGTTGGATACAAAATTGTCAGGCCCAGCCCAAGAAGAATGGTGAAACATTCCAGTTGAGTTTAGTTCCTTTATTTGCTTACACCATATAGACAGAATCTTGCCAGATTAAATGTATACTACAGCAACTAGTGGATATGCCTTGGGAGATTCAAGGGAGTGGCTATCCTGGACCTCTTTTGCTTCCTATGCTCCTGCTCCGGACTGTGTTGTCTCTTGTCTCCTTTCCCCTGCTGGAATTCACCCCCTCCTTCCTGATAGCTTTGCTCTCCCACATCACCCTCCTCTGGGTAGATGCATTCCATCACAAAAACTCACATTTGACATATCATTTGAGAATTTGAAGAGCATCAAAATTCTGATGCTAGAAATTTGAAACACACCATGTTGTAAGACACAAATAGGTCTGAATTTTTTGGCTAGTTTCAATTAATTAATTAATTATCTTAGCCCACCCGCCCACTTTTTCTGAGCACTGATTTAACATCTTGTTGTTACATTATTCCTATCAACTCAAATGGGGGGAGAGAAGGAAGAATATTAATATATTTCTCACTGCATATCACAATTATCCCCTCTGCCAGTGCTCTTTGCAATTCTTGGATGTGAACAAATGGGTCATAATTGTTAAAGCAACGAGGATTCAGAGACATTCAGAAAAGGTGTGTGTCTTATTTTTTAAAAAAAGAAAAAAGTTCAATAAAATGTGTGTGTGTATGTGTGTGTGTGTGTGTGTGTATGTGTATGTATGTATGTATGTATGTATGTATATATATATATATCCTTAAAATGATTATTTTACTTATTAATTCCATATTTAATTCATATTCCTTCCATGCTGGAATTCAAA